TTTTTTTTTAATTCATGAGATTAACAGAGGATAAAGCTTGAAAAACAGAACCAACCGATGTGAGATGAAGGTACTTAGTTTATTTACCAAAGACATTTGTACAAGAATGAGTGGTGTACTGGAACAAAATTGAAAACATCGGTAAAGAAGAGATACATACATGAGAGAGCTATACCCGATGCGTAAACTACGCTAGCTATATGTGATTAAGACCTACAAAAACAACATCTGCTTCCTAGTCATGAATTGATACCGCCGTAATCACAGTCAAACAAAACATGTCCAAATGATTTATGTTTCAGAAGAAGTTGCGTCGGATGCGATTTTCCTACGGCCCGATGACGATCGTAAACGCCGCCTGATTTGCTTATCAACAGCGCTGATCTTCTCCGCAGTGTTCTCGTTTCCACTTGCTAATCGAGGCTTTTTAACGACAACAGCAGGAGTAGCTTGTAATTCCCCTTCGGTTCTGAACAAGAATAGAGAATCAAGGTTGCGATATGATATTTTATCGTCAGGCAATCATTAAAATGGTCTTCAATAAGTGATGGTGGATTGTAGTGGCCGGATAATATGGTAACCGTAAATCCAATCATTAACTACTTCTGCTCAGAGCTTGTGAATTTCGCCGTGAAAAGTGACATTACTTCTACTCTGGCTACACTTTATAAAAATGCTATTTCTCACCAAAAAACTGAGATTTAAAAAAAGACCCTATGATTTGGTGGAGTCAACAGAAAACGTGGAAAAACCCGACAAACAACTGTGCCTGGCCGATACTAATTCATCGCATTTCAGGCAGCCGTACGTTGCTATATTCTACGGTGAGCGGATGTTCGAGCTGATATACTTGTCATTCTGCCACTGAGCATTTATTACGAACAGACTAAATGTTCCGTAGACTTCACATTAGCCATGCAACTTGGTGAGTACTGATTTTTGCAGCAATACAATTGTGGGATTATAATTTCACAAAGAGAAAAGACTCAACAGAAGTATATTTCTTCTCAGAGCTAGACGGATTCCAACACAGGAATGTTTTGAAATTAAAAACATATTTGTTTTATAATTTTAACGGCAGTAGATAAGGTGAAGCTCTTGCAAACGCATCTTCTAGTTTTATTCGTTTCTGACTAAACTAAGTCAAAACCTACTTTCATATATGTTGGCCTACTGCTTAAAATTGCACTCGAATCCACCATTTCGTTTCTTTATGATTTACCTGTATTTCCAAATGCGTTTACAGTCATAGGGCAGTGTATAACTCGTGATTGAATAGTGTTTTTAAGGCTCGAAAACAATTAGGGTAGAGAAAGAGTCACTTTCATAACTTCTTTTAACGCCACGTAATGAAGAATGAAACAGCACAACAACCGACTATGCTCAGCTCCAACGAGTCAATAAAGAAACGTCCGAGCAGCTCCTACAAGCGAGTGTTTGTTGGCAGTGGGGTACTGTGGGCCAACGCTAACCAGCTTAGACGCGTGCCTCTTTACTTACAAAGTATCCACATGTAAGATTGCGCGGAAACATTCTTGTATTGGACCAAAGTTCCATAGCTTTCGTCTTATAACTGCAATCGCTGCGATTGCCCAAATAGAATCCAAGACAAACACAATGGCGAAAAATAACTAGTCTGAAGATCATCAAAATTCCAAACCTTGTCGTAGCTCCATTTATAGCTGGATTTGAAATCGACACATGATATGATGATCCTTCGGCAGCGTCGTGATCCACTCTTGCCTCTTCTATAGTACTATGTGTTTGAGAACTGCTGTTGTTTAGCGGAAGAAGATGATACTCTTACTTGGGGAGCCTAGCGCAGCAACCAATGCAGCAGCAACAGTTTTTGATCCTTGTATTATATGCTGAAGATATGCCTTATGATATGAGAATTTTCTAATAAAGTCAGGGCACCTTCAATGGAAGTGCTTTGTTTCGCTGCGGAAGGTCTACAGAGTCGAATTCCTTTTTGACTTCTTTGCTTTTATTCTTCTGACTCGCCTTTTTGAAACTAGATCTCCTTCTCCTCTGAAAACAAACGACTAACCTACGTGATAAATTAGGTGCTAAAATAGCTAAAGTTGAAACAATG